GATACAATACCTGAGTTTTGGTACCGATACCAAAATAATAATCTTTTCAAAATCAGATTTTTCTACAAAACCGCTAAATGTTGTACAGTTGTACCAGAACCTGGTCAGAATCAAATAAAACTGGCAGCTTTTTCTTACGGCACTGTCGTAGCTATGATGTGCAGTGGGGGATTATCACTTACATTGTGGGTCCCCTAACAAAAAATAATGATGATAATGATCTGAGCAATTATTTTGATGAATACAGTGTTATTTATTATATAAAACCGATTAAACTCTAACAATAAGATCCAACTCGTAATAAACAGAAATTATACTTTGTGATTCCTTTGTGTTCAAATATTTGCGTTTTATTATTTTTTCTGTAGATAGAGGAATGGTAAAAAGACGAGTTATACACAAATTAAACTGAAATCCGTTCTTACATTAACACCAGACTTAAAGGATATCAGAACAGCTATGATCAGTTCTGTTAGTCTTTCAGGTCTATGACGTAGTTGAAAAAGTACCGTAAAGAGTCTCTGTCTCTGTCTCTGTCAGGCGTACCACGGCCACGCTCAGGCCCTGGAGGTGCTGCTGCAGGGGGAGACAGAGGTGGACCAGGGGGACGAGGCGGGGAGGACCGCCCTTGCCCTGGCCGCACTCCGGGGACACACTGACTGTGTTCACACCCTGCTCGGCCAGGGGGCGTCACCGCGCGCCACCGACTCCCAGCACGGACGCACCCCTGTCCACCAGGCAGGTGGGTTCAGCTTCAGTCTCACATTGTGTTTTTCTGCCCTGTCTGGCACATGTCTAGCTGCATATGGCCACAAGTATATGGACACCTGAATGAATTTTATATGCTTTCAACCACTTTCCATTAAGTGGAAACTTAATGCAATAACAGAATGATATTTGAAACAATATGCATCCAGATTTGTGTCAGCAGTTTGGGGAACGCTTTGTCCTGTAGCTGATAATCCCCCCCGCTGTGTTGGCCCTCGCTAATGCGCCAGTGGCTGAAAGGGAGCAAATCCCTGCAGCCAGGTTCAACATCTGGTGGAAAGCCTGAAACCAGAAGAGTGGAGACTGAAGAAGAATATTTACATTATTTAAAAGTGAAAGTAAAAAGCGATCTTTCAGTTTGTACCCAAACACAAATGCATTAAACTCAGCAAGCACAGTGAGATCTGCAGGGTTCAAACTTACACCAGCCCCTCAAGACTGAAGCCAAAGCACGGCACCTAACTGATATATGTGTGCAATAAAAGTCCAAGAGGCCTGCATGTTGATAGTAACCGTGTAATGTTGTTGTTCAAAAGTGCTGCACGGAATGCACACATTATTGTCCATAAAGCCTAATATAAATATTGATGTACCTTATCTCCACTGTGGACTTATTTTATGATATTTATGTGACATTAGACAGGAGACTGATGATCATTAATATTTGACTTGTTACCTTGTTACTCGGTATCAGGTGGAAATGTTCCTGTGTTCTACTAGTGGACATAGAAAGTAGAGTCATATTACTCATTTGACACAAGCTTTGACACAACATACTGAAAATAAAACAGGCTGCAGTTTGTCCGTCCCTCACTAGATTTTAGACTAACATGCTGTATGTATTTAAAACACTTTATCAGAGTCAGTGTCAGCAGTAGTTTGTACACATTTATAAAGTTTCATTAATCAGTTAAGTGGGAGGATGGATCTCTGTCAGTGTGCCAGCCTATTGGGCAAAAACAAGGAAGTGATGCATCATAATCAGTAAAGACGAGAAAGAAAGCAGGAAGAGGAAACAAAAGGTGAGTGAGAGGAGATGAGAATGGGTGTAAATTCAAGAAAGCTTGTGTTTAACTTTTCATTGAGACCATAACGATGCCATGAGCCCTTCACAAGATGGAATAAGCACAGTACCTGAAGTATCCAAAGAGCACCTGTATGTGATCAGTTAAAAGCCGGCAGTGCCTGAGGTTCAGATCAGAATCATCAACTCTTAAACCTGCAACAGGTTCAATTGAGGACTAGTTCCATATTTCTGTAACCTACTGCTCTTAGTTCACATATAGCTCCCTGCTCCTGTTGGTGTGTGAACTGTCTCTGTTCAGCACACTGCTCACTCTTTTATCATGGTGGTTCTTACTTCCTGCTGTGGTGACACTGTAATTGTCACAGTCTGACTCAATGAACTGCTGTGTCATCATACTGACTATTAATAACACTTCTGTCGCTCTCTTTCTTCCTCTCTTACTGTCACGCACTCTCTGGCTCCCTCCAGTGATGAACGGTCATACGACGTGCGTGCGCCTCCTGCTGGACGAATCGGACAGTGCAGACCTTGTGGACGCTGCTGACTCTCAGGGACAGTAAGTGATCCTCTTTTGTTTTCCTCATCTGTCCAGTCTTCTCAATGTGTCCTATTGTCTCCTCCTCTTTGTGGTGTGTGATGGATAAAAAAACTTTGATTAAGACCGTTAAATAAGGCTGTGAACGGTAATGAAAGCTGCATGTTCAGACACTGTTTTCCTCAAAAATGTTTTTAATACATTGTTAAACAATTATATATAATCTATTAAATTATACAGTGCACACTTTATTGAATGTTTATTATAATAAACAGAGGAGAAACCATGAATTCTTTCTCCAGACTCATAATGGTTATTATTTGTCTTACAACATATAAAATATTATTTCTGAATGAAACAGTGAATTGTGCCACATAATAGACATAATGTGCTTTCAAATAAAAGTTCATTATTTTAAGTTTTCATGAGCATGTCCTGATAATCTTGATGAGAATCACCCTTTCTTTCTCTCACATGTCCTCTGCCTCGTCTGCAGGACTCCTCTGATGCTGGCGGTGGCGGGGGGTCACGTGGACGCTGTCTCGCTGCTGCTGGAGAGGGAAGCCAATGTCAACGTGGCCAATAACCATGGCCTCACTGCGCTGCACCTCGGGGTGAGCATCTAGCTGTGTGAAAAGCCTCTCAGGTCTCACTGTCTATAGATTTTTCCTCTTCCTTGCCTTTATCGTATGATGGAGTATTAGGGCCAGACTGAGAGAAAAAAAGATTTAATTTTTTGGGGGAAATTACGAGAATAAAGTAGTAATATTACGAGAAAAAAGTCATAATATTACGAGAATAAAGTCATAATATTAGTCTACGAGGAATAACAGTCATAATATTAGGTCTACGAGAATAAAGTTGTAACATTACGAGAAAAAAGTCGTAAATATTCGAGAATAAAGTCCATAATATTGCGAGGATAAAGTCATTAATATTGCAGAGAATAAAGTAGGTTAATTTTTACGAGAAACTGGCCTCAGCCAGCATAAACTGTTTAACCGAACGAAATTAATCAATACGTTATCTTACCTGTTTGACGTACGGTACGACTGAGACAAAACAGCGGCTGCTGGGGCTCAGGCTGAGGCTTGCTGTTTGGTTGCTGCTGCATGTCAGATCTTTGGATAAACTCTATCGAAGTTTTTTTTTGTCATTGAAACAACTTTTTTTCTTGTATTATTTATTAACATTAGGTCTCCTAATTTATTACGATTTTTTCTCGTAACATTACGACTTTTTTCTTGTAATATTACAACTTTATTCTCGTAATTTCACAAAAAAACCCCAAAACAATTTCTCTTAGTCTGGCCCTAATACTCCGTCGTGTTATGGAGACTGGAGACCACAACAATTATAGACTTTATATCTTTGATTAAAAGATATTGTAAAATAAGTCATTAAATGATACCTCAGTAAACTCAATAAGCACTACATGATTAATTTTACCTCTGTGTATATATGATGAATAAATATGTGAATTCTATGTAAGGGTATAAAGAGTGAAATGGGGAAATGTTTGGAGGACAGTGAGTTTGAACCATGGCTGAGGCTCGTCTCTGGAGGCGTCGATCAGTGTAGCCTCGCTGTGGGGATCAACGCTGCCAATGCTAAAACCAATTAAGTGGTTTTGTTCAGTTCAGCAGTTTGACATGACAAAGCACTTTCTGCCAATTAATGTTGGGTTAATTCTGTTGTTGATTTAGGTCAGTGATTTCCTAATACTCTATAACTTAATTGCAAAATGTCGTGAAGTGGGGCTGTCAGAGGGAGAGACAGAAAGCAGGAACGAGCAAAACCTGTCACAGAAACCTCTGCAGCAGAACCTGTGCGTGTTTATGGGTGATTTAGCATCAATATGAGCCCATTAACCATGGTACAAGGAGGAAAAAAACAAATGCTCCCACATGCTAAGTGCTAGCTACAGAGCTGCTCTGGGACGCAGACAGCTGGGGCCAGATGCATGTGTGTATGCTGGTCTGAGGTCTGTGTGAGGTGACACATTCTCACCCTTGCGTTCTTCTTTATAAATCCGACTTTATGTGTGGTTCAAGATGTACGAATGTTTTTGTGTGTAAACAAGGTCTCTATTGCACATTTCTGTACTACGCCACTGCCCCTACCCACCGCCGCTTTATCATCTACTGCTGACCTCCGAGTGATGATGGGCATTCCCACCTGGCCTGTCAGAGCTATGTTGCAGAGATATAGTGGTCCAAGCAGTTGTCACTGTGACTGTTTAATTGTGCTATTTCACTATCAACACATAGTGAATGGAAGTTTAAGTCACAGATGAAACCGGTTAGAGCTTGAAGTGGCGCTGTATGGAAAGGGTCTTCAGAAGAGGTCTTAAAGGTGTTAAATTGAACTTCAGGTTTCCTGCATATACCCTGAAAATATCGTAGTACATTTCTGTCTGTCCATCATATATCATCTCAAAGCATTCATTTAGTCTTTAAATGGAGTCCATAAAGGTGACTTAATGTTCACTGTGATGGAATACTCTCCTTTATATCACACGCAAACATATGTGAATGAGCCAGTTAATGAACCATAAGAGTTCTGCTTTAAGAAGTGTTTGATAAACTCCACATTCATTCAGCTTGACTCTGATCTAAATGCCTTTATTCTGTCTCCCCAGCTGCTGTGTGGTCAGGAGGAGTGTATCCAGTGTCTTCTGGAGCAGGAAGCCTCGATCTTGCTCGGCGACTCGCGAGGTCGCACCTCGATCCACCTGGCCGCCGCCCGAGGCCACGCCTCCTGGCTGAGCGAGCTGCTGGGCATCGCCTGCTCCGAGCCGCCGTCGCTGCCCCCGCTGAGAGACCACAGCGGGTACACACCGCTGCACTGGGCCTGCTACTATGGTCAGACTCACAGTTCTTAATCATTCTTATTAATGTTATTCTAACAGTTCATAATTTTGCTAATCAAATCAAAAGTAAAATCAACGTAGACCTGACTCCAGTGAGAAACCTTTCGATGCTCTTTTCCAATACTGTGTGTGTGTTTGTGTCTGCAGGTCATGAGGGGTGTGTGGAGGTTCTGCTGGAGCAGAAGGGTTGTCGCTGTATTGATGGGAACCCATTCACCCCTCTGCACTGTGCTGTGTAAGTCTCACACACAATCATCATTATTAATGATCAATGAATCAATTGTCTTATTGATTTTCACAGAAAAATGTCCACCTTTTTGAATTAGTAGAATTTGTCTTTATACTGGTTGATACTTGATACTGGTTGCTAATGATGATGATCAATGAATTCATATTCCATTAAACTGATTCATCATTTAGTCTATAAAATGTAAAACAGATAGTGAACAGTCCCGTCACTGTCAACCAAAAGTCCAAAGATGACTGTTTTTAAATGTTCATGTAGTCCAGTGATAAAAAACAGGAAAATTAGAGAGAAAATACAAAAACATTTAATATTTTTGCTTGAGAAATTATCCATTGTCAAAGTTGTAAATTATTCCCTGTTTATGGACGATTGTTTCAGCACATTAGCACTGTGTAAGAAAATATTGATAGAAATATGAAATACTTTATATTGCGGTATATTGTTTTGCGATAGTGTATCGATTCTCAAAAAATCTATAGATTTGTGTTTAAACTGCTAGACAAGAGTGTTGAGGGCTATGATAAAGGAAAATTATTGTTATTTTTTAATTGAAATATATGACAGTACCACAATATATTGATTGGTAACTCCTGTATCAGGGTGCCACCTTCAGTACTGTTAGCTCCTGATATTAGTCAGTGACATCCTGTCGGTGTTTAAACCAACAGAGTGAACAATCACGAGCCCTGTGCATCGATGCTGCTGGAGGCCATGGGGGCAGAGATCGCTGGCTGCAAGGACGCTAAGGGCAGGTAAGACGTGTGTGTGTGTGTGTGTCTGTATGATGTCTGTTAGATGAATGCTGTTAATCTATCTTTTCTCTTTTCATTCCTTCCTCTCTGCTTCAGGACTCCTCTTCACGCCGCAGCGTTCTCGGGTCATGTCGACTGCATCCAGCTGTTGCTGTCCTACGATGCACCTATCGATGCTGCAGACCAATCAGGTCGCACTGCACTGATGATGGCGGCTGAGAAGGGCAGAGTCGGAGCCCTCGGTACAGAGATGTTTTGTTTATCTCTTTATGTTGTTTCACTGATCCAGTCTCATGTGCGTGATTTAAAATAATATATATGTTTGTGTGTGTGTGTGTGTGTGTGTGTGTGTGTGTGGCTGTGCTCCTGTCGTACTCCAGAGGTGCTGTTGACCAGTGCCAACGCCAACCTCAGTCTGACAGACAAAGATGGCAACACCGCCCTGCATATAGCTTGCAATAATGTAAGTGTCCACATGGGGGCTCCATCCTCCATCGTATGTATTGTTGGTCTTCATCCCAGTGTCTGCCCGCAGGAACCGAGAACAAATGACATCAGCACAAAACAATTCAGTCACACAAATGCAGTCATCTCTCACACACACACACTCACACACTCACACTCACACTCAGTACAAACAGCTGAAGTATTTCAGGTGGCCAACCTGTTCTGTGAGCTGCTGTCAGCACTGTTCACCTGGAGCTCAACTCAGCATGTTAAATATCTGAGCAGCTTAGATAGTGTGGCCCCGTAGATGAAAAGGTGTGCTGATGCCCTCTGGATGACAGGTGATGTCATTGTAGATAGGGTTGTGGACTGTATAATGTTTTTCTGTTTTAATCCAGTTTAAGCTTTTTAGCAGTGGCCTATTTACTCACCAGCAGTCACAACTATTCTTTTGGAGTCATGTTTGTGTCTACCTGATAAATGGAAGTCCAGTATTCACTCTACTTTTAGCTCTGTTTTTGGTCTCTATCTTGGGTTAGTATCTGGCTCTTTAGCTACTAAATGCTCCACTGTGTTACCAGCTAGTGTCTGAGTCACTGTGAGGCGAGGGGAGCAGCACATTCAGCTGATACTTCTCTGTAGGTTTATCACTACGAGCGAACCCCTTTTAACATTGTCATTTGATACATTATTATAAAATGAATGATTGTAACTGCTTTAAGTCTGATAGTTCAGGACGCAGCGCTGACACTGGGATCAGGCCTTTGCCTCTGTTTGAATAGAGCTCGCTATAAGCCGACATGTCCTCCTTACAGGGGAAGGAAGACTGTGTGTTGCTGATCCTGGAGAAGCTGTCTGACACCGCGCTCATCAATGCCACAAATGCAGCGCTGCAAACGTGAGTATCCAACACCTCGGTTGCTATTTGGATTGCCAAGACAACATTTTTAACAGTGGGGAGGTGTGTGAGTGAAAGGCAGCAGGGGAGATACGGTAGAATGAACCTTTGTCTGTCTGTCTGTCTCCACCTGTCTCTCTGTCAGTCCTCTCCACCTGGCGGCTCGGAGCGGTCTGAAGCAGGCAGTCCAGGAGCTGCTGTCCCGAGGAGCCAACGTGCAGAAGGTGGATGAGAATGGTAGGGTGAACCTGCAGCCCCCCCCCCCAGGCCCTTAGCTGCATGCCGTGGTCATTGGTTAGCAGGAATGTTTTCCAGCATGAATTCAGCTTCACTAATAAATTGACCATTCCTAAGTCCCGCCCCTTTCTGCTCTGTGCTCCAATAAGAACTGCCTCAGTCAACTTTCTCCTTTCCTGTACTTAGACATGCTAGGCTCGTCTATGTTGAACACAACCAGATTTTGAAGTTAGCTAGAGTTTTGCTAGAGAGAGAGAGACTAGCTGAGATGTGACTGTGTTGCTTTATTTTGTAACCATCTTCACAATGTGGTTGTCTTTTCAACATAGATGAGCTGTGTGTTAGGCTCGGCTACAGGAGGAAGTTCCGTGAGGTTCCAGAAGGGGAGGGGCTTATGAATGATTGTGTCAAAATGATTTTCCATGTGCGCTGCAGAAGACTCTCTTTAAAAAGGCTTCCCACTGGTCACGGAGGATGTGGAACATCATGGAGTTCCAGTCAGGGATTCATTTCTCTCAGGAGATCTAGCTTTTCTCAGTTCTCACATTGGTGGGTCGCCATCATT